CAACCTTGGAGCACAAGGCATACTAAAGGTTTTTATTTTCCTTCTCACTACTTACTTCTCATTTTGAGAGTTAAGTACAGACTTACATTTGGCTTCTGATTTGACAAAAAAAAAAAAAAATGGGAGAGAGAGAGAAAAACATTTTTGTAGTTGGTGACCTTTGAAAGTGCATGCCATTCATTTAAATGGCAGTGAGGTCCTGAGTGAATAATACAAAGTCAGGAAAGAAGGGCTGAGGACCAGCTGGAGGCCAGCTGTGCAGACCAGAACTTTGACACAGAAGTGAGCCCATTGTGGAAGCTCTTACTGAATGTGGACTGTCCTTTTCCATAGTTTGTGCTTTCACCTCAGGCATTTGTTTATTTTGATAGCTCCAAAGCCTAAAGAAACAAGGGAAAGATCAAGTTTTATGAAATTACCTCTCCTGAGAAGGCAGATATCCTGGGGTGCTTTTTAAAAAATATATTATTTTTATTGATTTCAGAAAGGAAGTGAGAGGGAGAAGAAGAGGGAGAGGTACAGGGGGGTAGGGAAAGAGAGAGAGAGAGAGAGAGAGAGAGAGAGAGAGAGAGAGAGAGAGAGAGAGAGAGACAGACAGACATTGATTAGCTGCCTCCTGCACACCCCTTACTGGGGATCAAGCCTGCAACTTGGGTTGTGCCCTGACCTGGAACTGAACTGTGACATCCCAACCTTTACCACTGAGCCACGCCTGCTGGGCTCCCAGAATGTTTTTTATTATCACTTTGTCATCTAGGAATTAATAGAATTATTCTCACCATGTTCTCTGGACAACTCTTAAATCATCTGGCAATCACAGAGTTTGCTCAACATAAAAAAAAAAAAAAAAAAAGTTTCTTTGGAAGAATTTGAGCCCTGGCTGTAATGTGCTCTCCATAACCACTTCTAAAATAACTGCTAGACACAAACTTCTAAGGAGATTTATGGGCATGGAGTGAATGGGAGTGGGGTGGGGTGGGGGAGATACAAGAGCATTTTATTTTTGCCTTCCATCATAGCTCTGGTACCCTGCAGGGGCATCGCAGAGAGAGCACCAGACACTCACTGTGCCTCCAGAACTGGGAGATTGGGTGTTAGGGGCTGTAGCAGGGACCCTGGAGTTGTCTTTGCTAATTAAGAAGTCACCAAAGAGAAGGCCTGAGATGTTTAATTGTCCCCAACTTCCTCTTATAGTACAACTTTCCATATAGCCTTCAACTTCATTGTGAATAATTAAGGCTTTTAAGCTTTAAGTTACATTTATTTGAATTGATTATATTGTCAATCGAGAGGAGCATTACCCAGAATGTCTTCTTAAAATACTAGTTCTGAGGGAGTTCATAGCTTTCAGTGAGGGAGTAGGGAAGGGAGATTGACTAGTGGTTGGCAAACTCATTAGTCAAACTCATTAGTCAACAGAGCCAAATATCAACAGTACAACGATTGAAATTTCTTTTGAGAGCCAAATGTTTTAAACTTAAACCTCTTCTAATGCAACTTCTTCAAAATAGACTTGCCCAGGCCGTGGTATTTTGTGGAAGAGCCACACTCAAGGGGCCAAATTGCCACATGTGGCTCACAAGCCACCGTTTGCCGACCACAGATATAGGCAAATAAATTTCAGAACACGCTGGTTAAGCAACGATTTTTTTTTGGGGGGGGGGCGGGGGGGGATGGAGCAACTTGTCTTTTTGGCCTTTTAATAGCAACCCTTTCAAAGCAAAGATTTGAGGGTGGGGGGAAGTGATGCAACTTCTCTTTCTGGCCTTTTAATAGCAAATAATCTTCTTAGAATGGACAGAACAGGGTCGAGGTGGGGGGGGGGGGCTAGTATGACATTTGGTTGTCAAGAGACTTACAAGGTCAAATCCTATTTTTATTACTTGGGCATGACCTTGGCTTTCTTACATTAAAAGCCAACTCCACAGGCTTATTCAAAGTACTTTGGGTGACAGAGATGGAACCTCTTAGACTGCTAAATATGTCCACTAAATGTAGCAGAAACGGCTAAGCTGTGTAGCTGTGCTCTTTTGCCTTCTTTATAGTTTTATGTTAAGTAAATAAATTGATTCCCTTTCTTCTTTAATCAGCACAAATTTGGCTTATTGATGCATACCCGATCCTTTACATTTGCTTTGAACATGATAAATGTTATTTTCACATTATTGTGCATTAGTTAATTTTTTTAGTGTTTGTCAGGATTTTTATTCTGAGATCCATATCAGGCCAGGTGGGAGCACATTACAGAAAGAGGGGGAGATCAGATAATGTGGAAAAAGAGAGTCAAGATGGATGGTTATTTGGGGATAAAGTTTATTTTTATTTTGACATCATTCTTGGCAGTGATTTTTTGGATTTGACAGCAAAAGCAAACACAATGCTAGTAAAAATAAACAAGTGGGATGACACAAAATTCAAAGGCTTCTACACAGCAAAGGACACCATCAGTAAAATGTAAAGGCAACCTTCAGAATGGGAGAAAATATTTACAAGTCATGTATCTGATAAGAATTTACTAACCAGCCGAAACCGGTTTGGCTCAATGGATAGAGCGTCGGCTTGGGGACTGGAGGGCCCGGGTTCGATTCCGGTCAAGGGCATGTACCTTGGTTTCGGGCATATCCCCAGTAGGGGGTGTGCAAGAGGCAGCTGGTCGATGACTCTCTCTCATCGATGTTTCTAACTCTCTATCTCTCTCTCTTCCTCTCTGTACAAAATCAAATAAAATATATTTAAAAAAAAAAAAAAAAAAAAAAAAAAAAAGAATTTACTAACCAAAAACTATGAAGCTCTCATATAACTCAAGAACAAACAAAAAACCCAATTGGGTAGAGACTCTGAATAAACATTTCCAAAGAAGACAAACAGATGGACAACAGGTACATGAAAAGATGCTCAACATTATTAATCATCAAGGAAAATCAAAACTACAATGAGGTATAGCCTCCCATCAGTTAGAATGGCTAATATTTTTAAATCATTTTTTTATTTTTCAATTAAATTTGACATATAATATTACATTAGTTTCAGGTGTACAATCAGATATATTAGATAACTTACTGATTATCCTGATAAATCTCATACTCATCTGACATCATACATGTCATTACAATGTTATTGACTATTTTCTATGCTATATTTTATATCCCCATGACTATTCTGTAACTACACTTTATACTTCTTAATCCCTTCCCCTTTTTCACCCATTCCTTCAAGTCCCTATCTGGCAACTGTGACAATGTTCCCTGTATTTATGAGTCTGTTTCTGCTCTATTTTTTCATTTATTTTGTATTTTTAGATTCAATTATTGATATGTATTTACTGCCATTTTATTGTTCATATTTTTATCTTTTTTATGAAAATTCTTTAATATTTCTTATGATACTGGTTTGGTGATGAACTTTCTTAGCTTTTTTTTTTTTTGTATAGGAAGCTCTTTATATGTTCTTTGATTCTAAATAACTTTGCTGGAAAGAGACTGAAGGTCCTTGCATTTCATCACTGAAGATTTGTTATAATTTTTATGTGGATGTGGGAGGATGTGAGTACCACATGTACCTAGGCCTCCACTTTGACCAGAAGCCTAGAATGGCTAATATTAAAAAACAACAATAAAGAAATAACAAGTGTTGGTAAGAATGTAGAGAAAAGGACCATTAAGAAAGAAAAAATTAGTGCAGCCATTTTGTAAAATAGAATGGAGGTTCCTCAAAAATCAAAATTAGAATTACCACATGATCCATCAATTCCAGTTATTGGAATATATCTGAAGCAAATGAGAACACTATATCCAAGAGTCATCTGCAACCTCATATTCATAGCAGCATTATTTACCAAAACCAAGACATGGAAACAGAAGGGTGTAAGGAAATTGTGGTTTGTATTTATACACAGTGGAATATTAGTCAGCCATAAAAAGGAGAAAATGTTGCCACTTGTGACAACATAGCACTATGCTGAGTGAAGAAAGTCAGAGAAAGACAAATATAGCAGATCTTGCATAACATAATTTTATTCAATGGGGTTTAGTGATAATGCTAACAAATACCTTCGGAGCTTAACTCTTGTTTATAGCAATTGTCCTATGGTAAAATAGATTTCATTATAAAGTCGCAGAACTGATTGACAATGTTAAATGAGGGTGTTACTGTACTGTATGATCTCACCTATATGTGAAATCTGAAATAAATTTAAAAACTAAGATAAAACAGAACAAAACCATAGGAAACAAAATCCATGGTTGATTACCAGAGCTTGGGAATTGGATGAAGGTGATGAAAAGGTACAAGCTTCCAGTTATAAGATAAAAAAGACCCAGGGATATAATATACAACATGACTATAGCTAATAACACAGCTGTTCGGTGCATATGAAAGTTGTTAAGTGAGTATATCCTAAGAGTTCTCTTCATAAGGATGAAAACACTTTTTTTTTTTTGAGTGTGTGTGTGTGTGTGTGTGTGTGTGTGTGTGTGTGTGTTTATATGAGACTAGAGGCCTGGAACATGAAATCTGTGCAGAAATAAGGTCCCTAGGCCTGGCTGGCAATCAGCATTGATTTGCCTCCCTTCCCCAGCTGCCAGCTGCTGGCTCAGGCCCTCCTTTGCTCTGCAACACCCCCTGGCGGTCAGCACACATCATAGTGAGCAATTGAACTTGTGGGTTTCTGGTTGAATTCCCAAAGGGACACTTTGCATATTAGCCTTTTATATATATAGATGATGGGTGTCAGCTAAACTTATTGTGGCAGTCATTTCACAATATATATTAGTTAAATTCCTACACTTTATACCTTAAACTTATACAGTGCTTTATGTCAATTATATCTCAACAAAATTGCATTACAAAAGATTTGGCATAGGCATACTATTAAAATAAAGGAAGAATTCAGTGTTTCTTTTTGTTTGTGGCATATGTGGGGGAGGTGGAAAGTAGAACAAGCAAACTGTCCAACTTAGATGTTTTTCAACACTCATGGCTTAATATTTTAAATTTTTCAGGCTGTATCCACGCCATGCAAGTGCCCTGAACAACCTTGGAACTCTAACAAGGAACACAGCAGAGGCAAAGATGTACTATCAGAGGGCTCTCCAGCTAAATCCACAGCACAACCGGGCTCTGTTCAATCTTGGGAATCTCCTCAAGTAAGTAGAATGTGTACCTTTGAGTAAATGGCCTTGTAATTTCCCGAAATCCTTTTCTTCTCAATACTTGGTTATGCTGTTGTCTTCTCTTCCAAGAGTGAAATAATTAGAGATTTGAAGCTTTGGAAAGATGCAATACTCATCTGAATTAATTCTATCCCTTATCAGTCAAAAAGAGTATTTTCCAGAGTGTCTTTCTGGAAGTATTAGTTCTGGGAGCTGCTGATAAATTGTCTCTAGAGAGGTGAGATTAGGAAGGGATTATATGGTCAAATGAATTTAGGAAATACTGAGTTGAGTTAAATATAGTTCCTTAAAAAAAAAAAAAAAAGATAGTCCCTTTTTGCCCTAACTGGTTTGGCTCAATGGATAGAGTGTCAGTCTAAGGACTGAAGGGTCCTGGTTAAGTTCTGGTCAAGGGCACATACCTTAGTTTCAGGCTCAATTCCTGGTTATGGGTTGCAGGGTGCAAGCAGGAGGCAATCAATAGATGTGTTTCTTTCAAATCAATATTTCTCTCTCTCCCCCTGCCTTCCACTCTCTCTAAGACTCAATGGGAAAAATATCCTTGGGTGAGGATTAACTGAGAGAGAGAGAGAGAGAGAGAGAGAGAGAGAGAGAGAGGGAGAATAAATGTTCTTTAAAAAATAAAAAAGATAATTCCTTTATTGCAAAAATGTCTAATATGCTAAATGCCCTGTGAATCCTCAAACAGGGAGTATGGAATACAGCATTTTCTAAGTCACTTTTTTTTCTTTTTTTTTGGTAAGGCATTTCCCACGTATTTAATGAACATGCTTTTGGCAAAGTGCTGGTCTAGGGAAAGCAGTCTGTCCTAAAGGTATAACTAAATGGCGTAACTACAACTCATGCTCACTTTGTACTCCGGGTAAGAAACACAATGAGGGATACCTGGAATTAGTAACGATTAGAGTAACTCTTGCTCCTAGGAAGGCTTCCCAGGCATAATCACTGGTGTTGGCTTTTCCCTCACTGCCCTATGAAAGGTTAATAGTGCAATTAGTATCACCAGAGAAACACACCAAGGGGTACTTTTGCCTTGTGTATTGTTATTAATAGGAAGGCTAAGCATGTTGGCGATGGTACTGGCAATGATTATGAAAATGGTGGTGGCTCTGGAATTTAACTTCTAAACTAAAAAAAAAAAAAAAAAAAAAAAAAAAAAAGGTTGAAATGGAAATTAAAAGGCAAAAATGGTTGGAATCAGACTATAGTGCTGTGTTTATCTGTACTCGTTAGAATGCTGACCATCTATACCCTTTCTTAATCGGCTCCCATGCCTCTACACTTCTAGAGAGGCTAATGGTGTGTTTTCTTCCTTCATCCTCTCCCTAACAGGATTGTTTGCATCGCCTCAGTAACTTTTATGATTCACATTCTTCACTTTCCTGTTTACTCCTTGAATGTTATATATACAGATAGATATTAGTACTAACAACCTCCCTTTAAAAACAAGAACAAATCAAATGTTTTTGGGAGAAATGAGTTCTAATTGTTGTAGATAACAAGTTACAGGTTGATAGTGTGTTTTACTTTACTATTTCTATTATCTCTTTTCCCATTTATGTGAAGTTCTAAGGACTCATTTTTAATGTCCTTGTTACATCTGTATATGTCTTTACCTAGGGCCCAAATAACTTCAGTCTGGATACAACCCTGTCAGTGTCTTTTGGGTTCCATGGATTATATAATACTGAGTTCAGAAATCACACAGATGAGTGTTTTTCCCAAAAAGACAGCTTTAAAAGCCTGTCTATGAAAGGAGGACCCTGTGAGGAGTGATCTCCTGCGGTTATGATTATCATATTGTGCTGAATGTGCCTGTACTTCAAAAAGAAGGCAGAGATTCTTTTAAATTTCATCCTGTCAGGACCTGAACAAGAGATACACACTCTACCCTTCCATTTTCAATTCCCATAAGAGTGCCACTGACTATTATTTAGAATTAGTGTATGTGAGTGCAAAGTACAAGGACATATTTTTTGGAGCATGGGTAATGACTGCTTTTCACAGTGAGAGGGATACCTAACATAGGATTGTTTCTCTTTCAGTAAAATCAACTCTTGGTGATTATCCAAACAAACAACCATGTTTTACATTTGTATAGGACTGTAGTTTTCTAAGTGCTTTTTAAGGGGCCCTCTCAGTGATCAAAGTAGATGTGGAAGGAAGGTCCTAAGGGATTAAGTTTCTGTACAGAGCCAACCTTGTTTACCTTCTGCTCTTTCACATTATACCAGAGAGCAAGGTGGCTATATATGTGTATATTATTCTTAGTTTCCAGTAGAATAAAATCATCATGATAGCTAGCATTCATATAATACTTTCCAGTTTACAGGTGTGTGTTTTTATATTCATTATTTAATTTAATCTTGCTAACAACCTATTGTGAGAGGTATTGTTACCCTCATCCCCATTTTACAGATGAGAAAACCAAGGTTTGGCAATCTCTTCTGACATTGGACTAAGCTGTGGCAGACCCAGGACTGAATCCCTGCCCTTGGACTTTATCCTGTTCATTTTCCATCACTCATGCTGCTCAGATAGTTCTTGCTATCCAAAGTTACTTAGTATTTAGCTGTTCAATGGTATACGATTGCCTCTTGTGAGGAAGGTCCTTCATGTTTTTCTTAAGCAAACAATAAAGGCTGTTTACACTATATCCCTCCATAGCAGAGAGAGGTGGCTCAGAAAACAGTTGAGTTAATCCACATTTAGGTAACTTTAAGTTTTACTTTTGCCTTCCTTATTATTTTTCTGCTACATAGCCATGGTCAAAGGCAAAAAGAGGATAAGAAAATTATAAATTGGGTTTGATTGACTCATTTTACTATTTATTTCTCATTATGCAGGTAACTTTTAAAATTGTATCCTTTTTGTAATATAGAACTTAATGATCATCCTAAGAACCCAAGTTATCTCTTCAGATCTGAACAGTTTAGATTTGTTCCTTAGCAGGGAAAGACCTGGGAAGAGAAGACCTGGAAATAGAACCTAGATCTGTCTGACTCAGTATCCTTGCCCCTCATCACCACACTCGACTGCCCCCTTGTGGTTCACCTCAAAATTGGGATACAGCCTACCGCAGCACTGCCAAACAAAAATGAGTCAGAATCTGTAATTTAAAATTTTCAACTGGCAATATTTCAAAACCTAACCAGGCGAAATTAATTTAATAATATATTTTATCAAACCCCAATGTATCTAAACTATTACCATTTCAACACATAATTAATCTTAAAAATTATTTTTTAAATTGAACATTTAAAAATATTAATGAGAATATACTTTCCTTTGTATCATTAATATTTGAAATCCAATGTATATTTTACAGGACATCTCAGGCTACTTATATTTCAAGGAATCAACAGCCAGATGTAGCTAGTGGCTACTATATTGGACAGCCAGATCTTAATTAACGACCTTGACTTTGAGAGAAACCTGAGTCTTTTCTAGGCCAGAAGTCCTAAATAAGATGTGATTCTTATACAGCATCTCAGAAATCTAATGGCACTAGGACAAATTTCATTTGCATTCTTGGAATTATATGATGGAGATTTTGACCTTTTCCTAGTAGTAGACTTCACTGAATGTACTGAGTGTTAACCAAATATAATTGGCCCCTTTCAAGACCATTTTACTGGACTTTGAAGTTAATCTATTATGAGTCTGTGTTGCACATTTACAGTGTGACAACTTGATAAGGAGCAGCTTTCCATGCCAGAATTCTTAATTTATATTAATTATTGTTGGCCTTGCTTGGAACTGAACATGTAAAAGAAAATAGACAAGATTAGCATAACCTTTTTATGGATGAAAAGAGTAAAAGTCCCTGATGGCTCAGAAGAATAGAATATTTAAATTCTGGGCTTGAATTAAATAGTTGTGCTGTTTGAAATACAATATGAAAATAACTTCTCTTAATAAATCATATCATACCTCCCAAAAATCATATTATTGCCTAAAGTACCTTCCATTCATCTGATTGGCTGTAGGAATTACATGGGTGTTACAATAAATCTTAAAATTAAAACTCAGCTTTTTGTCAAGAGCTGTGGTCCCAATCTCATTATAGATACAATTATCCACAATTCTACTCCAAGATATTTACCACAAAAAAATGAACATAAAAGACTGGGATGTGAATATTCACCACATGGATATTCATAATAACTCAAACCTGTAAACAAGTATCCATGCATGAAAAATTACAAAGTACTTCATGTATATGCAATGGGATACTACTGAGCATTGAAAAATGTAACATGTAACAACCTGGATAAGCCTCAAAAACTTATGCTAAGAAAACTATCCAAACAGCAAAGAAGCACATAGTAAAGGATCACCTGAAAACGAAGTTCTAAAACAGGCTAAACTAGTTTATGGTGAAAAAAATCAAAATAATGATTGCCAAACAGTACTTTAAAGTAATTGTACCACATTTCAGTCCAACAATGGTGAGCGATCCCCTTGCTTCACACCCGAACATTTAGTTTCGTCAGTGTTTTTTTATTTCAGCCCTCAGTAGTCATTAGTGTAAAACCCACATGTGTTATTGGTTCTGTTTCTTTTCTGTCATCCCATCCATTATCAGGAGTTTCCTCTTGAGTCTTCAGATTCTTCCCTTTCTAAACATAAGACCCCAGGGACTCTTTCTGGGTTTAGCTACTCTCGCCAGTTGTTCTCATTCCTTCCTTTCTCTGATCAAATTGACAAGAGGAATGCTTAGCACATGGGACTCCTCCCACCTGTTCATTCAGCATTCCAGCGGAGCTGCAGTCTTGAACATCAGCTACAAATTTCCAAGGTTCTCTCAGCTCTCATTCCCTTTGATTTCTCTGAAATGAAGAATATGACACCATTGACTGCCTTCCACTGCTTTGCAGCTCCTTAGTTTATTGCTGTATTACAACACATTATTTTTCTCTTCTGTTTCCAATATCTACTGTTCTTCCACCCTCCCTTTAAATGTAGGGCAC